TATGGAGGTTCCTCAAAAAGTTAAAAATAGAACTACCTTATGATCCAGCAATTGCACTACTGGGTATTTACCCAAATAATGCAAAAACAATTCAAAAGGATACATGCACCCCTGTTTATAGCAGCATTATTTACAATAGTCAAGATACAGAAGCAGCCCAAGTGTCCACTGATTGGTGAACGTATAAAGGAGATGTGATATATATATAATGGAATATTATTCAGTCATAAAAAAGAATGAAATCTTGTCATTTGCAAGAACATGGATGAAGCTAGAGAGTATAATGCTACACGAAATAAGTCAGAGAAAGACAAATACCATATGATCTCACTCATATGCAGAATTTAAGAAAATAACAAATAAGCAAAGGGGGAAAATGAGAGAGACAAATCAAAAAACAGACTCTTAATTATAGAGAACTGATGGTTACACAGAAGAGGAGGGTGGAGACTGGGTTAAGTACGTGATGGGGGTTAAGGAGTGTACCTGTGATGAGCACTGGATGAAGTATGGAACTGTTGAATCACTATATTGTACACCTGAAACTAATATAACACTTTATGTTAAGTAGCTGGAATTAAAAACTTAAAAAAAACTATATAGACTATCTTCAAAAGAAAGTAATATTGAGACATAATTGGATAATGTTACTTGAAGAATCAACAAAAACTGTTTTGTGAAATGTCAAAATATTTTTTTATTTTTTTTAAAGATTTATTTATTTATTTGAGAGAGAGAGAGAGAGAGAGCACACATGAGCAGGAGAAGGGACAGAGGGAGAGGGAAAGGAAGAATCTCAAGCAGACTCCATGCTGAGTGCAGAGCCTGATGTGGGCTCAATCTCAAAACCTGAACCAAAATCAAGGGTCTGATGTTTAACCCCAGGCGCCCCTCAAAATATTTTTAAAATAGCATTCTTTTTTTTTCAAAATTCTTTTTAAAGATTTTTATTTATTCATTTGAAAGAGCGAGAGAACACAAATGGTGAGGGAGGGGCAGAGGGAGAGGGAGAAGCAGACTCCCCACTGAGCAGGGAGTCCAACTTGGGGCTTGATTCCAGGACCCCGGGATCACTACCTAGGCCAAAGGCAGACACAACCAACTGAGCCACCCAGGTACCCCTCAGTGTTCTTTTTAATAAAATAATTTTCTTTTTCTGATTATAAAAGAAGTAAATGTTATTGTAAAAAAATTAAACAGAACATGAATAAAGAAGACTCAATCACTTCACTTTTAATATTTTAAAACACAACCATTTATACTATTAAACAAGGTTATGAATATTTTAAATTATAAAGCAGAACTAGCACTGGATAAAACTCATTTACAAGAAACACTGAAAAGGGAATCTGGTTGTTTTGTTTTGTTTTTCTTTTCTAGTCATTTCGTTTTCCTCAATGTCTATATATTTGGTTATAGAGTATGCCACTTTCTACACAGTCTTCTTAATCCAAAAAAAGGTTTTGTTCAGGGAGAAGAGCAACTGTTGGAATCTACACATCAGAATATCACATCAACTCAGTACACTGTACTCAGTACAACTCAGTACAACTTAGTTCCTATGCATTGTGATGGCCCAACCTGAACATGTTATACTAGCAAATTCCCCACATCTTAACCTCCTTTATTTATCACACAATTATATCTTTTTCATATCTAATGATTAGTTTCCAGGGTGGAGAGAGATAGAGGAAAGTCCTTTAAAGCAACAACTTCATTTATTTCTAAACTCATAAATCAGTGCTATATGTACAAGGAACCTGTTGGTTAATCTTTGTTTCTTCCAGGTAACATGTATGTAACAAAATACATACAGTAAGTGTGTAAATTCCATTTCAGTAAGTGAAGAAAAATAAAATAAAAAGACAAATGGCAAAACAATCCCGAACAATCCATTCCTACTACTGCCAACCTGACAAAAGAAAAATGTTTAAGCATATTTTAATACAACCAGGTGAGGAGGTAAGTCAATCTCAGAATCATCCCAACAACTGCTTGCTAGTTTATCCTTAATTTCAAATGTCCTCATGAATAATATTCCTGGAAAATGAGCTTTCAGAAATCATGGAAGTTTTCTATATTTAAAAACAACTGAATTTAAGCCAAAATCTGAGTTTAAACAGATAGGGGGAAAAAATGCCATTTTAGGAAACTCTTAAATTCAATGGATTAATTCTGTTATAAAATGTAACTTTCTTAAATTGGAATTAGTGATCTTTAAATTGTGATGGCAACAAATATGGCAGCCACAGTGAAAAGGAGCTACCACATTCTGAACGTTTTCTATGTGCCAGGAGCCATGCCGAGCACACAGACTACATTATCTTGTTTAGTCCTCAAATCCAGCCTAACAGGAGGGTACAAGTCTCTGGATTTTACTGATGAGAAAAATGAGGACTTGCTATCTTACCTAGGGACAAACAGCTTCTGCAGGCCAGGATTTCAGTCCAGGTTTCATACACTGGTGGGTTATAAAGACTTCCAACACTACATAACTTTAGAAATGACTCCACAGATAACAGAACCTCCAGTAACAGACTACAATGTTATTGTTTGGCTGTCACTTATAGCCAAGTTGGATAATTACCATCAAATACAATATAATGATGAGAATAATGGTTATGCTTTCTATTCTTAAAACACATTAATCTAAAAAAGAGTAGTTTCAAAATAAGTATTATCTTATTATATAAACACACATTAAAATATGTCAAAAGGAAGTTAAGTGGCTTGCCTTCGAGTTGCATGTTAAACATTATAATAAATGAAAAATCTAAACCTAGAACTTGCCTTACAGAGGTTCCCCTTGCAGCCTAGAGTAAAGCTTTCCTTCTCTACTCTCTTTCATCAAAAAAAATTTTTTCTGTAGGAAATCTACAGAGATCTGAAAAAACTATTCAACAAAAACTTAACAAAAGTGAATAAAGGCAATGTCAAGGAAATGCTATGTCCTAGGGTTTCTGTTTGATTATAGACTAAACTGGCAAGTTTGGGCTTACCAGATTGGTGTTTTAATAAAAGAAATTTGTAAGATCAAGGAAAAAGATATCACAAGACATGGAAAGGACTAAAGCAAAAGATTTAGGCGAGGAAAAAGAAATAAAACTCAGAGAAATTTTGTAAACACAAGGTACAGACAGAGGTACAAAGGTGTGAAGGCTTTT